CTGCTTCCCAGAGGGATGAAGGGTGAGAGAAAAATCGTTACTAAATTAAGATGAAAATAAAAAAATAAATAGCATATTTTCTCACGTAGGCCAGCCCGAGATGGGTTGACCACAGCAACAAGCGGCCGGGCATCCTCCCACGACGCCAGGAGCTGTGGTAACACGGCCTCTGCCTTCCCACTGTGAAACTCACAGTTTGAGATCCCTGGGAAGCAAAAAGAACAGAGTCCCACCAAGTGTTAGGTATAACATGAACCACCCTTTGCTGTGTTAGGGTCCCCCCCCACTCACTTACTACTTCTGATTTTTCAGCAGTTAGTTTGAAACTTTCTGCCACGGCGAGTTTGAACTCACCGTTGAACGCTGCATTCCACTTAGCATCCTCTATTGCCTTCTCCACCACCTCAACACCGATGACCTTGGACACCTGGTGAGCCAGAGAGAGACCAATTGTGCCTGGAAACATGGGACACAGAAATACTCTGTACATTCATGCTGAAGAAACAGGCCTTTACATAGCAAGGATCAGTTCTGGCACCAGCAAAGCACCAGCCCTGGGAGCTGGGCTCACACGGCCACTGCTCACCTGTTCCACAGCAGATGTCGAGGAGGACAGTGTCCCCAGTAGTCTGACAGAGCTTCCCAACTGCCTGGTACAGAACTTCTGCTCCAGCCGTGTTCACTTGGAAAAAGGCATCTGGAGAGATGCGAAACTTCAGGCCGAGCAGTTCTTCAAAGATGTGAGGTTCCCCGTGGAGCAGCTGGTAGGGAGACTGCTCGTGGGAGCAGCGTGTCATGGTGCTGGCAGACCACACAAAAAACAGCTCTTAGAAAGCAGCAGAGAGCTGGTTGCCATTCCCAGGGTGCTTGTGGGCAGGGGAGGATGGTTTTCTCCCCAGGCAACCTCTATTTTGTGGGAGCCTCTCAACAAGATCAAGAATTTTGATTCTTTGCAAGGGATCTGTGACTTGCACAGCCTAGATTTCATTAAAAGGATCAAAATGACCTAGCAGAAGGCAGCAGTCCTCGGGTCTATTCCCCAGTTTTGCTTCTAGTATGATTTACTGTCCTGGAAAAGTCACTGTAGGCTTTTTCTTTAGTATACCAGGCTCATAACTCCCATGAGGTAGAGCTACAGTGTATTCAAGTATTACAGGTTTGGGAAAAAAAAGATGGGGCCATTTTAAAGCCATATCTTTATGTGGGATCCAAACATCTGTCATTCTCTTCAAGCACTCCTTGAAGTGATAGAATTTGAATTTGATCAGAGAAGGGGGAGAAAAAGGAGGTGGCTTTGTTTCCACTCATTCCCTGTGCCAAGACACATACCTCTCTTGGAAATAAAGTGAAGTCAAGGCACAGACTGCTCCAGGTCCACACATGAAGAACTCCTTGAGCAGTGCTTTCTGAGTAGCCAGTGCCTCCTGTTAAGAGCAAGAAAGGAAAACTTGCTGTTTGGGTAACCTGATTAGACACCTTTTCCCAGGGATACACCCAGAAGGCTCAGGTGAGCCGGGTATCTGATGTGCCTCTTGCCATGGGCTCTGTCCTGCACATACTCACCTGGCCCAGCTCCTGGGGGTGGAAGGTGATGATGGCCATGGTGTGGCCACGGCTGGTGGTACGAACCACGAGCTCCCGCCAGTGTCCACCTTCATGGAAGAGGATGCAGGAGTCCAGGGGGGAACGAGAGATGAACTCTTCATAGCACTGAGGGGAGGGGAAAGGGCATTTGTAGTACCACAAAGACAACTGCCCTGGTCTTAACCCCCAAGACAGGCAGCCCTTCCACCAGCATGATCTGGTTTCTCTGCTTTCAATAGACTGGGTGAAAGCTCTTTCCAGGCTCTTGAAAGACAAAACATTTTAACAATTTCAATTTGCAATTCTTATGTGTTTTAATAGATTGGCAGGAAATTCGTTCTCATTTGATTAATTTCATTCTTTGGAACAGTTTAGAGGCTGCAACATTAAGATGCAAGTTTTAAAAAAGTACTTTTCCATCAACCAGAGTCAGGCATGAAACTTTTCAGACCATGAAAATGAACTTGAAAACACGGAGTAACTAAAATTACAATGTTTTCCCAAACAAGAGTTATTGCAGTCCCTCTATTCCACAGTCTGGGGACAGACATGATTTATTTATTTACCTGGGCTACTTTGTTGTGTTTTGAGGGCATGTTCTTCATGTGGTTGGCTTTCACACAGACAATATTTCTTGCTGGAGAGAGATGGAGAGGTATTTAATTGTTCTGTTTCAGGGCACAATAAACCACTGAACCATCTAAACATGATAAACTTTGGAGAGGCCTTTCCCCTGAATTCTCCCATTGTACAAATTTAAAAAAAAGAAGAAAACAGAAAAAATTGGTATCCAAGTGCTCCTTGCAAGGAGCACAGTGCTCACATCTTCACTGCACAACACCAAACTGCCTCATGCACTCCAAATGCTTCAACACTGCTCTGCTGCCTATGGAAGTGCACACCCCTCCATGTTCTTCCTGCTCAGCACAGGCTCCTGGAGCATGCCAAAAACGTGGGAACAGCATCATTAAGAATAACAAAGCTAAATCCTGAAGGGGCTAATACCCCATCCATCGTCCTTCCTGTTGTATTTTGCAAATTAGGAGCTGGTATTTCTTAAGAAGCGAATGAACTGAGGTGTTAAAATTGCTGCCCTGGTTTGGTGGTTGGCATCCCCCAGGATTCAGGCTTCTAACTTGAGAGGAGGCTTTCAGGCAGAGCCTTGCCCCAGCCCAGCTCACGCCAGCAGTTTTCTACTGAGTTTCTTGTCCTGCACTGACCTTTGCCAGTTCCCACATACAACCCCACAGTTTTGGGGTTCCCATCTGGTCCTCGGTTCACAGAGAAAGTAGATTTGTTTCGGTAGCCATTAATGACGGGCTGAGGGAGAGAAGAAGAAAAAATGAAGCCTTAGATTAAAAGTAATGGAGGAAAGCCAAAACCCTGCCCTGTTCTGTTGGCAACATGGGAAGATATATGTGAATGTGCAAAACACAGAAATGGAGGTTGTGCATGAGAACCCCAGTACTTCCCCTGGGGAGGAAGAAATGGCTCTCTGTGACAGAAAGGTGACAGGTTTATCAGGGAAGCCTTGGACACAAAAAAAAGGGTTCCTAAGCACTGGGCTTATTTCACTCTCAGGCAATCACAGGCTGCAAAGCAGAAGTTAGCAAGGACTGCCACAGGCACACTCTCTGCAAGCAAATAATGCCCACCATGAGACTCTTCAGTTGTTGAGTGAGAGGCTGTGAGTGGCTGAGAGGGGAGAGCATTCCCACAGGATACTCACAGAAGGGACTACAGGCTGGAGAGGACAGCAGAGCCCACCAGGTTTCTGTGCATCTATGCCCAGCTCCTCAAGACGAGATGCCAGTGTCTGCAAAATCTTCCTCTGGCTTTCATACTTCACCTGCAGAGGAGTTCTAAGCCAGAAACACTCTCACAGGACCACATGACACTGGGCAGCTCTTCATCACCCACCCCTGGGAAGTCCAGCAGGAGGAAATACTGCAAGTGAAAATATAGCCCCAGAGGAACTCTGCCCTTTTCATTACCAAAGATGCTTGGGGCAACAGGAAGAGGGAAAAATCCCATGTCCATGGTCCCCAAGAGCTGACCTTGGAGTACTTGGTCCAACCTGAAGCCCCAGTGAACCAGCTGTCCCACAGAGGACAGGATCACTGTGCAAGTGCCCATCCTCTGTACCATAAGGAACCTCCCAGTTCTATCCTTCACCATAACAAGGATTAAAGCAGCAGTAAATGGGGTCTGAAGAGTTTACAGCATTAAGATGATGAGGGCTATTGCTCAAGGGGATAGGAGAGGCAGTCGGGGCAACACAGCAAAGAAAAATCTGCGTAAGCACATCTTACCTGCAGCTGCTCTTGGTAGGGAAGTCTCCACAGTGGAGTCACTGCATTTGCTAACCTGGAAAGCACAACATCATGGCAGTGCCCAGAGATACTCCCCCCTGATACCCATGGCATAACATCCCTGACAGCTACTTCATGGGCAGGACTTTCTGGTGACAGAGCTGGCTGTGAACACCCAAACTCCCAGTGAACCAGAGAGAAATGCACAGTTTGTGTGGAGCAGGCAGGGAATTTCAAGCTGCCCACCCTTGCTGACCCACACAGCAGTTGTTTAGAGAAAAACCTCAGAACTTGCCACTACTTTTACCTGAGGCAGAACAAGTAAGAACAAAACACATCAAAGCTGATTTAAAAAAAAAAAGGCAGAGTAAGGGGTGAGGTGGACATGGTTCAATCATAACTGCTGACTCACTGAGCCCATGGAGAAAGTCACCCCACAGCTGGATAAGTTGCTGGTATTGGTTACTGGGATTTTTGGAGCTGCTTCCAAAAGCACCCAGTGCCAACTACTTTCAGACAGAGAACTGCAAATCAAACGGACTATCACTTTTTGCTTGCCACTGTGCCAACCCGTCTGCTCCTTTCCTCTTAAACCTTTCCATTTGTCTTTTCCATTATTCCTATCCCCGGGCCAAACTCGCGGGAAAAAACAGCTGAGTCCTGGCCCTTCTATTTCTACTGGGAAGAGCTGCAGGAGGGTAAAACCCCAAACCCACCGCTCTCACTTGCCGCTTCGGAAGAGCGTTCGGTCATTTTGGGAAAGCCGTACCTCTCCTCCCAGGACGGATCTGGCAGGCTGCAGCCCTCCCTGGCCTTTTTCTTCCCTTTCCCCTTTGTCGCTGTCCCCAGGCTGCGGTCCGGGCCGAGCAGGGCGAGCGGCGGCGGGCGGAGATGCCAGCGCGGGGGTCTCAACAGGCAGCACAGAGCCATGGTGGGGGGCGAGGGGCCTCACCCGTGTGCCGGTGGGACACGGGTGGGACAGTGCCCGTGCCACAGCAACCACGTGGCTGTGCTGAGCTCTCTCGGGACACGCTGAAAGCGGAGTGCCCCCCGCCACCGAGCCTGTCCGGTGGGATGCTCGGGGCTGGGGAGGCAGCGGGAGGGATGTCTGGCAGAACGTGTCACCTCAGCTGGCGGGGTGGGTGCACGTGGGTACGTGTGCTCACACGTGTAGGGACGTCAGGACAGCGGGAACAGCCCCTCTCCCAGGCCGTGCCTCCTGCGGATGGTCGTGGAAAAGCAGGAAGCGGGCAAGCACACGTGATCTCACATGCCCGCTTAACCCTCTCGGGCACCAAATATTTTCGGCGCTGCTGGGGGTTTCCCGAGTCAGGCGTGGTTTATCTATTTAGGGACTCCAAGAGTTCTCTTATCCCTTTGACCTCACCTAAAATTCCTGCACCCACACATCCTTCGGCCAGGAGGCTCCCCCACCCACTTGGTACCACTTGGGTCAACCTTTCTTGTTTGAGCCTGGCTGCTGCGGCCCCATCTGGGGGCTTCAGAGCCCGTCGCCATCCCGGTCCCCATCCCGACCCCGTCCCAGGCCCCATCCCCGTCCCGCTTCCGATTCCGGGGCGGTGGGACA